TGTTTCTTTCTAAGCCTTTAAAGCCTATTTCCAGTGATACACGTAGCAGTTGAAGAAACGTAGTGTAATCATAGGATCTTGGCATCTTACCCATATGCATTAGGCAAGTAAATTTCAGAGTTAAAATGTTCTGAGTCTTACTCATTAATCTTTGGAGCTTGATGATATGAGTGGGGACATGGGCACATCTGACAGGAGCTGTCTTAAAACTCATGGTATTTCAAGACTCATTTGAGACAGAAAATGAATGTTCTCCTGGGTGTATCCTGTTTGGTTAACCTTCTGTGCATTATTGTAAATAGTGTATTTGAATACTTCTTTTTTAAGTTGTGGGCTTTTTAAGTGTTCTGCAGTAAGCATTTTCTCCCAGATGTATTCCTCCATTAGCTCTACTTCGACTTCTCATGGGTATGTCTTTCTCTCCTACTGGAGCAGAACACTTTCAAGGATGGTTCATTTTACCATTTGTTTGAATAACCCTTTTTTATTTTATTTTAATTTTTTGTGTGTGTGTGTATTTCACTGTAGTAGTTGCTGAAGTTTCTACTAAAAAAAATATACTGGACTGATAAGATTTATACCTGGTTGCACTTACTGACAAGTAAAGCTCGATTTGTTGCCAAACTTTTCAAATTGAAAGAGCTATTGCTTCATATATTTGAAGTAGCTAGGCATGCTAGCTCTTGTTTTGGTGCAGACTGACTTAAGAAAAAACACTTGACTGTACTGAACATTTAGTGCACCAGTATCTACACTTATTGTAGTATTAATCTTGTCTTCCCTTATTGGTGGAATGAGTATACAAATTTGGTAATCAAAAGAATGGAGTCTGTGACATAGAAATGTGTGATTTCTTTTGCTTGATGTGACACAGCCAAAGCAAGAAAAGTAGGCACATTTTTTTTCTAGAAAAATGGTGCTTTATCTCTCTTATTGTGGCTAATAATATTTCTGGACAGGACATTTATTGCCACCATTGAACAAATGGGAAGCAAGGTCTTTGGCTAAACCAATGTAGTTAATATTTGCTGTGATGAAATATGTAAATATGAAAAATACTATGGGAGTGTTTAATAGCAGTCTGAACTGGGCCAGGAGCAAAGGCTAAGTTAAAAAGCCAGCCAGGGTGGGGAGTGGGAGACTGAGGTGTTTGATTTGAATGAAATGGGAACAAGAAGCCAGAATATGTGTGTTTATAGTCTATTTGCAGAAGGCCTTCATGGGGTATTGAATTGCCAGCTGTCAGTTCTATCTGTCAGGTATGGGTAAGTGCCTTCCTCTTGAGAGCAGGTGGTAATAATTCACCTTACAATTTAAGTATCTGGTAGGTGTACTGGTCATGATAGTCTATCCTGTAGATTGTGAGAAGAGACTTTGCTTTGCAGTGGAAGCACACCATCATCCTAACGAAAAGTTTTCTGGTTTGTGGATATAGAAAATAAGTTTGCAATGACAGGTTGTCATTCACTTTTAATAATTCATGTGATCATGAACTTCAAAACTGTTCTTTTTTTATCCAGTTAGTCAAGCTGGCCAAGTTCAAGACTAAATCCAGAAGACTGGCCTTTAAAATAGCAAGTAAAAATAAAATCAAGAAGGACTTCAAGCAGAATGTACCAGCATTACACATGCTGAAGTTACTTCATTTTTCAAGGGCCTTCAGCTTTACTTCACTGGCTTTGTGTGGAAGGGAGGAAGGATGCCAAGTTCTGTATATTATGCAGTCAAGAACAGAAGACTGATATTCAGAGCGTGAGTGGGTCCCACCTCCACAAGCTGACAGATGCCTGTCATTTGTCTGACATCTGACTTTCCATATCAGGATTAAAGTTACTGTTGCTCATGCTGACTTCATTTACCCATATGTTGAAATTTATAATAAGCACTGGTGTACTTTCTTCCATGATCTCCTTTGTTCTTCATGTTCCAACTTAAACCACTTTTGTCCACAACAAAAGAAAAAAAAGTCCACAGTAAGGACTGGTGCACTGTAATTAATGGGATGAAACTGTTTCCTAGTACTCCTTGTCTGTCAGCATGTGGTCCGCTATGCTGCCTTACAGTATGAGTTCCATCTTTTATTGTGATTGTATAATTACTGTCATTCTTAGCTTCTAATAGGAGTGAGAAATAATAGAATGGAGTAATGCCAGCAACAGAATTTGGCCTGTGTTGTTGCTTCTCTGAAATTCAGAAGCATAGTTCCTGAAATGGCTTCAAGACAGTATCAAGTGGCACGTAAAGCTGGATCATACCAACTGTAACTTTCTTGGTTTCAGTGAAACCTTACTGATCTACCCCTGCAAAGTCTCTGGCAGCCTTCAAATTGTGTTAACTGTTTTGGAATGAACTATCCTGTGGAACCAAAGGGAAAACTACCGTTAAGTTTTCATTTAGGATAAAGACAATTCTGATACTTTTTCCTCAAAGTCCTTATTATGTATTTCTCTGATGCAAGCTCAAACAAACTTATTTCTGAGAAGTAAAATTTCCACTGACTTCCATTTGCACACTCATTCTGTAAATTTCTGATTTTATCAGGCCATTTCTTTCTTTGTAATAAACTGTTTTACAAATTGTGCCTTTTACCTGTTGCCAATAGGTGGAAGGCGATGTTGTGAAGGTCCATTTACACTGCACTATAAGACTTAAATGCAGATGTACAAGAAGATGGTAATATGAACCTACAACACCTATCACAACACATTAACTGAATTAGTGAAGTGTTAAGCCTAGTGTTGAAAAGAAAATATCTTATTTCAGGAGCTTGTTTGCTTTACTCATGACTGGTTATTAAAATGACACGAATGCTAATTTAGAAAAACAGCCTGTGAACCTTTTGCATGCTGGTGCATTTGGAATAAAATATTTTAGTAATTGAAAGGTATTTGTATTCTGGAATAGAATGAAGAAGGGTGGGATGTAAGGATCAAATAGGTAAAGAAAGATAGTAAGAGAATTTTATGTGTTTAGGCAGGTGAGCATAGTCCAAGCAATTTTATTTGCTCAAACCTGATTATACATTACTAAGTGGATTTAATTGTTTTTTTTTGTTTGTTTGTTTTTTGTTTTGGGGTTGTTTTTTTTTACAAAATCTGAGGCTATGTCATACATGGAAGTTCCCAGAAGAATATAAGGTAGCAGAGAGTTCCTAACTCCAAGAACTTATACATGGGGAGGACAGGTGGTAAGAACTAAGAAAATAAGTAGAACATACCCACATACAAGATTAATGTGATGCTAGCAAACATGGTGTGTTCAACTGGATCTTGGGAGAGAGTTGGTTGCTGTTTGAAAGGGAAAATAGTGAGACAGTGAAGGGAGTATGAGAACCAAGGAAGTGGCATCTGACAAATTCACATGGAGTGAAGATGAGGAGAAACTTATACTGATAACACTGTCCTTAGTTAATCCAAACAAAATTATTAATAAGCATTTAACATTCCATTAGACAAACAGACCCATCAAGTCCATCAGTGACCTGGCTGGAGGGTTTTGCTATGACAAAAATGTAAGATAGATAAGTTTTCTGCCTGCTCCAGAAGTCCATGGTGTGTGTTTCTTACCGTAATTTCATGTCACAAATTAGAGCAGTCTAGAGGTGGTGGATTAGCCACACAAGCAGAACTGAGTCCATATTTTAAAATTCCTATTTATGTAGGTTCTCCACTTCTAGTATCCAAGCATAGATCAGCTAAGTTCATTTTCTTCATAGTAGGCTGCCATTTCCACTTGGATTAATGAAAAGGAGGATGGAGCAGCATGACTGTAATGCAGCGACAGAAATGGGCTGGGGGATCCCACCAGGGAAGGTGTAGGACCTCAGCCTCTGTGAAAGCAGGTAAGGCTTTGAAGTTTTATTTCTGAAAGAAGGGGAATTGTTTGCATGTCTACCTGGAAGATCATTCCTTTCTTGCCCCGTAGAGGAAAACTGCAGAGAGGTCAAGTCAAACAAAAAAGTCCTTTGCATGCTTGGAGTGTCTTTCTTCAGGTGGGTCTGCCCACTTTTAGCTTTGCTTCATCCCTGAATCCTGTGATGAAGGAGGGATAGCTTAAGACTTAGCAAGCTTTGCCTTCAGAGATCAAATGCTTAATGATTCCCAGCATTTTTAAAGTGCTTCACATCTTTCAATGCAGCCCACTCCAGGCTCTCACTTAAATCCTCCTCTGCCCTCTTGCCTGAGTTCTATCAATATTTTCTGTTATTACAGAATGCAGTTACTCTTCTGCTAAATAAGAAGACAAAAGCTGACTGATACAGTTTAAATGAATCAGTCTATTTGACAGTTAACCTGTCTGATTGACCCTGAGGTGACACAAGTTGGCAAAAATGCTGGTACACTTAAACTTTTGGCCGTTTATTTGTTCAAATAAGTGGTTATGAGCTTACCTTTGTAAAACTACTGTTACTGATAAGTATTGTTGCATTTCCAGTGTGTTTTAGCCCTGCTGTATGAGTAGCACTGTACCTGTTGGGAGAGGAGTCTAGGAGTATGCCTTTTCAATTCTGCTCCTTCCTATTTTAATGTTTCCTTGGCTGTAAGAATCCTCATCTTTCTGTACCAAAATTGATTCACCATTAGTTGTGGTCACTTTCTCTTTCCAAAACAGGGCATCTGTTTGTTAATTTCAGGTTCTGTTTATAATTTGATTTAAATGTCCTACTGAAGAAAAAGGATAAAGGAGGGAAAACTTGTCACTGATACATCTGCTTTGTTGTCAGGGAGCTCAGCATTGTTTGGATCATAACTTTAAAAATTATTCTTTCTCTATTTTTCCATAGCTATTTTGTTCACATCATTCAAAAGGCACTGTATAAATACCATTCGTTTATTGTATATGATGGTTTTGTGTGTATGTATATGTGTGTGGGTATATATTTATATACATTGTGTGTATATATAGTATTTTAGTCTTTCAATAAACAGCCTGTAGATAAGCCTTTTCTCATAGATGTTTACAAGTTTTTAAGCTGATGGTAAAGTATTCATTTTGACCTACAGATTCCAAGGTGTGTCTGGGAATGTTTCCTGTCTCATGTTAACATATATTGCCAAAGGAGGAGCCTGACCTAAGATGTGTAAAATCTCCAGTCCTGGACTGACTGCAACGCTGGCCCTTCTGCTTAACCCCATGACTGCGAGTAGTTGGATTTTTAGTGGGGGTTACCAGTGGCAATATTGAAGCCACAGGGGGTAGGAGAGTCTGTTTACTTTGTTTTTACTGAATTATCTGATTTGGTCCAAGGAGTCTTTAGTACCTTGTTTATGTATTACAGGTAGCTTTTAAAATATTAGCAATGATGCCTACAGCTTTAAAGGGTAGCACTTAAATCATGTTATCTAGTAGGTAAAATCTGATTACATTATATAAGAAGCATATATACACACAAATTATAGGCAAGAAAGTATTTTGTATTTTTATGTATTTGAATAGCTTTACAATGCTGAGCTTATTTGACTGAGTGTAAAGCTTGTATTTTTATTTTGTATAACATGCTCATTTACAGTGTTGTGGATGATCAAAATAAATTGGAAGCAAAACATATAATGTAAATGAAATTACCTTGGAAGACATCTGCATATTGAAGTATATAATGGGATCATTTTCTTTTTCACCAAAGCAGCATGTAATACTAAAAAAGAAAAGAGAATAGGATATAGTATACAGGGTCAGTTCTGTTGTATACCTAATCTAGAAATGCTGATTAAGTATTCAAGGAAAAGGTTAAAAAGCAGGCATCATGATCTGTGATAAACAGAGCCAGCTAGTCAGGACTACACGCATGAGGAACATTCCTTTCTAGTCTCTGTAGGTGATCAGGTTATGACCTGACATGGGATCCTGGAGTGCTCATATTACCTTAAGCTGGCTCAGCAAGTGACTGTTCTTGAGTTGCCAACTAATCATCCAACACCTTAAAAAAGTCTTACAATCCATATGTGATGTATTTGTGTTGTAGAGAATGTGATGTTATTAATATAAATCCCTCGTATGGTAAATTGGATATCCTTTAGTTTGAAAAGTAATTTCATTACTTCTAATGCCACAAAACAGAAGTCTGTTTTCATTAGGAATGTCATAATTTTTCTGGAAATGTAGCTCCCTTCTCTCTTCCCCCCCTTCATCCCCCCTCCCCCCCCCCCCCCCTTGAGAAATTCTGCAGTTCATTATGTTTTACTGTAGGAAAATCTTGTTATTCCACTGGCTTTATTTTTGGTCTTTTCTCCTGTCAAGCCTTTACTTATTTAAGACTAAAATAACTGAAAGGACTCAAAATGTTTTCAACAGACTTGTATATTAATATGTTTAATCCTCTGGACAGAAACATCAAAGCAGGGAGGGAAGATTAACTGTTTGGCACCAGAGGAAAAGGGGAACATCCTACTGTGTCTAGCATAATTTACATAAATCATTGTGCTATTTATTCCTAATTCCACACAGGACTGTTTTGTTGCTGCTTTAGATGATCTGGCTAGGTTAATATTTTGTGCTAATGACAGGACAGATATAAATTTTGTGTTTTGTTTCAGGGTTAGAGAGTCATCCTGACTAATCAGGCAGGGAATTGTGAATGGACAATGGTATTTAAATTTGACAGGGTGACTGCCAAAGTTCTCTTCGAGACATAATTTTTCTTTCATTTTGAGGAAAAGGTGTGGAGTTCTGTCCAAGAAACCATGAAAGCTTCTCTGAAAAAAACAGAGCAACCCAATGATAGCAGTCTAGTCTAGCATTCTTGTTCTGAATCCTTCATCTGGAGCACAGCAGTTGTGGTCCATGAGTCTGGAGGATCTGTTTTGATCCCTGGGATCCTACGTGCTTGGACTGACATGGTGCCTAGGAGCACTTACTGCAGCACAGAAGGGATTTTCACTGTCAGGCCCAGGAAGTTGAGTTGTAGTTGCCTGATGGTAATACTAAGCTGGTTTGCAGGAAGGGTAGGTAGTCTGAAGTGTAGTTGTGCGGCAGTGCAGGGAGTTAATGGTTTCTCTTATGTGAACAGGCAGTACAGACCTGAACACCACAAACTAGGTAGCAATGGCAGGGTTTATGTCACAGAAATTAATCGTGTCAGAGCACACTGGAGTAGAACTGTGTGATTCATATGTTGCTGGACTGAAACAGATGTGAAAAAAAGACCCAACTTGAGATAATGACTCAGTGGACCCACAGGTATAATTGTTTCATGGCTAAATTGTAGCTCATTAAACCAGATAGCATTAGGAATGCTATTATGACCATGCTTCTGTTGCGCCGTAGATCTTGCTCCTTTTATGAAGTGTATGGCTCATAAAAGTGCACATTTCATAGAAATATGATTGTGTGCCTTCTTTCCTCACTCCTCTTTTTGTTAAGGACTACCAGCTTCCAATTTTCTGGGGGCCGGATAAAGCAGAAACATGGTAAATGTGATTAACAGAGAAGCTAACCTAGCAAACTGTAACACAAGCTATGATTGGGGAAAAAGAGAAAACTTAATTGGCGATGTAATACAGAGATGCTCTAGCAGAGTCAAACTGGTAGGTGTGCATAGTGAAAGTGGCCTGTATTGCTTTTAGACTAAAGCTGTCCTGCTCAAGACACTTCAGATGCCTCTGCTTCCAAGAACGTCATTGACTCACAACCTAGATAAAGTCACCAGAGACATACTGAACTGTCAAGCACAGATTCTCAGGGTTTGTGAGTAAAGGTCAGTAGGGGAGATGATTTAGCTTCTCAAATCCAGAAGCACAGTTCTGAGTGGGGATTTAATTATCTTTTCTTTTTTAAGAGAGCCTCTAGCAGATTGTACTTCATCTTTATTGTTCTAGCACTTGTATATGAAATATTTATATGCCTTATCTTTTCACTGAAGTATCTGGTTTGATCATTGTGTAAGATGTGACACAGTAGTATTATAGAGAACGTGACATCCCAGTAGGGTAGACTTTCTTAAGTGTTATGTGACCGTAGCACCCATATAAACAAGAGGTAGCTCTGGGAAGGCAGCTATTGCAGCATCTTGGAGATTTGGGGCTTCTCAGACCTGTAAAAGTGACATATAGGCAATACTCAAAGGCTGTCATAAATGAGAACAGTTCTTAGCTGACTGTCAATGTAACTAAGAACCAAAGAGCTATCTCTTGATTTGTGCCAAGATAAAGCAGATACGGATTCAGATCATGCAAGGGAATGTGAAAAATCTATAAAAGACACTCATCACAGAAGATCTGTACAGTAATACCTGCACATACCCCTGCACACTCAGCCACTGTATTAAAAATGTCTCATCTTTTTCGAAAGGCTATACTTTACTCTGATCGTCTTCTTTGAGAGATTATTTCTAGTACCTCTGTAGTGCAAAAAAAGACCAAAAAAGAGACTACTGTTGTAGTCACATACTTTGTGTTAGTAGAAAGTTTTTACATGGAGCTTTTGTATGAATAGGAATAAAAGGTCAGGTTGTTTTCTGAGGTACAGATGTGATGCTTAGATGGGAGAGTTGTTTTGCACTTCCTGAGACCTTGGCTGACATCGAAGGGGACATCCAGTTACTGAGAAGGGGCATAAAGTGCAGAGGTGCAGTCTGATCTAGTAGGTTCACAAATACAGTCCAGCATTTCACAGGATTAGCAGCTCGGTTTTCAAGACAGTGTGTGTACAAATGAGCTTAGCATAGTTCCTGAACTAATGAGCTCTGACTCCTGCTACTGCACAATAACTGAAGCACAGAGCTGCACTAATTCAGCTTTGTTGCTCCATGGCCTGGAGTTGGCTTATGGTTCTTAAATTTCTATGTGGCATTCTGGGCCCCACATCATGTTCAACAGTGACAGCTTTTTGGAGTCAGCCCAGAGTGATTTTGAGATGCTGTTCTCAATATCCTTTAGATGAGTTCTAAATGAGTCTGGCTGTTCTGCTCTGTAGAGCTCCTCTAGTAACTTTTTGGACAATAAGTGGGATGTTCTTAAGGCTTGTGATTTAGCAGCATTTGATAAAGAATAAAATTGCTTTGTTCTAGAGAAAGTTGAATTGAATACACCTTACTGGATTCTGAACCAGATCAAAAGCTGGTTTAAACTACTGGGGTTACTTTGGGGGTTGTTTTGGTTTTGTGGAGGCTTGGGGGGGGTTCTGGGTTGGTTTGATCTTTCAACACTATTAACACATATATGGATGTGCCATTTTGACAAGGTGTCATTTTCCAGTTCATTGCTTTGGAATGCCATGTGAAAAATGTGCATTTGCATTATGAATTGCTTTAATGGGTAATTGGGTAAGTGCAATTTAATGAGAGAAATGAAATTTTTCAAATCACTGTTTACATAATTCATCTTTCAAGAAATTATCCTTATGTTAGAACATAACATTAAGGGAGACAAAATAATGAGATGAATAAATTACCATGTACTGAACATTTGTGTTGGATATGCTTTTTCTTCTTTCCAGTTGTGGCCATTCATAATGCTTTTGCAGGAAAAGAAAATCATAATGGGGCAAATGAATGTTTAATAGAGGTTTCCATATTGCTTCAGTCCAGATTTTCACAATGGCTTCTTTGCTAGGAGTGACTAGGTTGTCTTCTGTCTCTCAGACTTAGAACCCCAATGCTCTGATGCCCAGGTTCTGGTGTACACAACCCGACCCATGGCAGAGTCCTGAGGACTTCTGGTGTTGCTAAAGATGTTATGCTGTCACGTTCAAGTTCCTGCTTAAGAACGGCTCTCTTAAGAATCATGGAAAATATTCTTGGACTTCCTGGGGATTAGAAAAAAGAAGGAGGCTTGGATTTATTTTGTCTAACTTTTTCTGATCTTTGAATGTAAGCAGCTCAGATCAAAGACTCTTGTCAGAAGGGAGAAGGTTTTACCTGAGATGATGATGAGTGGAGCTGGTTGCCTCCATGGGCTGCCAGTGGGGAGGCTCTGGGAGAGGAAGGTATTTATCAGTCTGAGTGATCACCTCTGGCTCTCAAAGTTAGAGGATGTCTTACATTTTCTTTTGATCCTAAGAGTGTTCTGTCACTGCTGTTAATTAAACATTAACTCACCTCTTTTCCCAAAGCAATACTTCCAGAATTATTTCTGTTTTGTGCAATGGCAGTCCTTTTGTCTAGTATTTTGGAACTTGTACTAGAGACTACTAAGAGAAAAA